TTTTTTTTTTGAATTTTCATGCCTTACTTCGTCTGTCTTTCAGTAAACAGGCATTTTTAGCAGTGCAGGATGTGAAAAATTTTTGAGTGAATTAGAAGAAAATTCTTTTTTTTTTTGGCGTGCAAATTAGCCACTTAAAAATCTTCTTGCATTGAAGATACGGTTTACAAGTTGTGACTTTTTTCGCAAAAAATCAAATTTTTTAGGATGATTTTGATGCTCGTTTGAAAGCACTTCGGAAAGAGAAGAAACAGAAAAGGAAGGAGGAGAGGAAGAGAAAGAAAGAAAATGAAACAGTCGAAGAAAAACGGGCCAGGCGTTTAGCGAAAAAACTCAAAAAGGTAAATTTTTTTCGTTATTTAGCTTTTTTCGTTACCACTTAGCTTTTCTGATGGTTGAAATTGCCAAAAGATGGTTTTTTGAAATTTGTTCTTTTTTCATCATTGTGCGGCTCAGGAACACTCTGCTGTGCCAACGAATATTATCCAAAATTCAGATGAGATTTTGTCAAGTATTTTACAAAAAATTTAATAAAATCTTTGCTGTGGTACCTGTATTTGAGCTTATGCTACAGCAAGAATTTAGCTTTTTATCGTTCTCTGTTATATTTTCTTATTACTTGCATCGAGTGCGTATAAAATCCGAAAAATTCTGTTTTTTTTTTTTTCTTCGCTATACCGTTGTTGTGGTTCTAGGCAGAGAAGCGTCGCATGGAATCGGAGGTTGTACTGGCATCCGATGAAGCACGTTACACAAATACCAACAATCCCTTCAATGATCCTAACCTCACATCCACGTTTGTCTGGACAAAGAAACTTGCTTCCGAAGGCAAAGCAAATTTATCAATCAGCGAAATCGAGAAAATGTAAGGAAAACTTCTTTTTTTTATTCTTTACAGATTTGTCTTTGAAAATTATGGTATGAAAGTGACTGTGTCAGATTTTTTGAACAAAGACAAAAAAAAATATCAGAAAAAATGAATTTTGACCGTTTTTTTGGAAGCATTGGTCCGACGCCTATTTGATTGGCTTATTAAACTATCACATATTAATTTCTCTGTATCTTTTGAGTGATAGGATTTTGCTGTAAATTTCATTACTCTGCTTTTTGTTGTTGTCCTCACAGTGTGGCCCTTTGTAGGAATCGGGAACGAATTCGTAAGAATTTAACCGAAATGGAGGAACTGAAGAGGAATCGAGAAGCACGAGATGCGGCAAGAGAAGACCTGGAAATGATCAAACGGGACGAGGAGCGGCGCCAGAACTGGAACTGGGAGCACACCGAGGAGGGATTCCTGCTCAGCCAGGCGAAACTTCGCTCGCAAATCAGGCTGAAGGAAGGGCGCGCTAAGCCAATTGATTTTCTGGCCAGGCTAGCATTTTTGATTGTTCCTAGAAATTTGGGGCATGCTGAGCCAACAAAAGCGATAGTATTTCTGCATAGTCCGCTGGTATACGCAGTGGCCAGCCCAGGGTCTGACTCCGATTGCCAAAACTCGGCTGCTTCCGAGTGCCTCTGCTGCTCACCAGCAGTGAATGAGAAGACTTTTTGGCCATTCATTTTATATTTCCACTTCCTGGGCTGTTAATTCTGTTCTGGCACGTAACGTTGTTTTTTTTTTTTTCAGATACATCAGTTTTGATAGTGAAAAGGAGAGTAGCAAGAAATACGACGAATTTGAAATTGTCGACCCGCTCACTTACATAAAAGGATTGAAAATCCGGGATTTTGAGGACCTCCTTGAGGATATTAAGGTAGAAAACTTGTATCTTGATTTACTTTCATATTCGTTTTTCTTTTTTTTTGAAAAACGCTTCCGTGACTAATTCTGTAAAAATGGCTGTTTTTCAGGTGTATCGGCAGATCGATCCACTGGATAATGCGGTTTGGTGGACCGATTTCTGTACAGTTGTGAAAAGCGAGATCAAAAAATTATCCGATGACATTAATGCAACGAATGCTCGAGAAGCAGTGCACAACTCGGTGCAAAGTGATGTAACTCGACTTTTTAAGGTTG